TGCACAGCCATGCACAGCAGGTCACCTGACCATCCAATCCTTCCAGCAGGTTCCAGCACATGCCAAGGTATACCAGCTACTTCCATGTCATAAAGGCTTAGTCATGTCTCTTGACCAAGCAATGAGCTGGTGCCCTGACAGTAGGGGATGAAGAGGGTGATCATCTTCATAAGGAGGGCAAGGATGGTGTAGACAGACATGTTTTGTTGGGCTGGGGAAGGCTGGGAGGCATCTGGGAGGGGTTGGGAGGTTGCAGTTTGGAGGAGAGGGACTGCCAGTGGCCTGCATGCCCTTTGAGCCCACTGGCACTGCCCCAGACAGTGAGCAGCAGTGCCAGGGCAGGGCGCGCACACCCTGGCTAGGCCATGGCAGCATTCACAACCAAAAATCCAATGCCCCATGCTGGCGGCTGTGTGGGCAGCAGGAACGGCAATGGTGATGGTGATGGTGGTGATGCAGACAGTGACGGTGACAGCAAGGCCCTCTTAGGCTTGCTCACATTTGCATGCTTTGCATTCATGTGCTTGGTGTTCAGCAGCCCATTGCTTGAAGCCAATGACACAACAAGAAGCGGGGGGGTTGCTGAGCTCGCAGGGTCCTCGATTTTTGCCATTGGGGTGGAGGCATGAGGGGGAGGGGAAGAGGGAGGAGGAGGGGAAGAGGGAGGGGCAGGAGGAGGGGAAGAGGGAGGGGCAGACAAAGTGGGAGGGGGTACATCTGGTGTTGTGTTGGTGGTGATGGGGATGCTGATGGTGTCTGTGCCTTCTGCACCTTTCCAAGGGAGAATTGCATTGTCCAGGAGCATTGACAAGGCATACTTCCATGAGCTGTACAGCTTGGTGCGATGTGGCTTTGTAATACTCACCCAAGGAACAACAGTGGAAGAAGAATCTGAAGTTCCCAGAAGTGGGTTTATTGGTGCATACACCAAAGATGTGGGTCCACCCATATTCCCTTGTGGTATTGCCTGTTGCTCTTGCCCAGGGAATAGTGCAGGGATGTCTTTCCAAGTCACTGAATGACACTCATTGCTGTGGGATCTCCAATGCATTGACATATATGCCAATGTTGCAGCCTGTATCCCCTTTTGTACTGGGGCAGGAGTTGAGCCAGATGGCTTCTCTGCTCCCCCTCCCTCCTCCTCTCCCTCCAGCCCTTCAACTGCCTTCCCTTTCTTCAACAGAGCATGGGCTTGCTGATTTGGACAGGCAGAAGACTTGCATTTGTCCAGTGTCAGAGTGTCAGGG